ATGTTTCTCTTTCTTGGCAAGCCCACGCAAAGAAATCATTGGCGTCTTGTATCACGGCCACACCCCGTTTCACGGCTTTGTCAGCCAAGCGTTTTACGGTCCCACCAATACTATCACATGGCCCTTTTCCGTGTCCGGCCTCAAAGTAGTCCCAACTTGCGTATACATTTGGGAAAAGGACGTGATGATGAGATATGATGGAAAATATTGATTTGTTGCGATACTGTGACGTTGGGCTATCCATCCAATAGTGGACGTTCTTCAAATCGGGCATTATCTGTTGGATCTTGGGTACCAGCTTCTTCAAGATGGCAAACACGGTGGATACATTACGTGCACGGGTGTCTGAAACAGTAACGAAGCTGCGATGTTGAATCTGTCCGGCATTAATGAAGTAGGCGACTATGGGATGCAATGTAACTCCTGTCTGATTTCAATATGCGCTTTGCACCTCATCCATAGGTACGCACGTATAATTTTGTGCAAAATCCATATGGATAACACATTCTCCTTCCTGCATGTTTTCTTTGCACTCTCTGATTGCAATATACTGCGATTTTACACGCTGTGCATGCTTCCTAAATTCCACTGCTGTACTTACAAAGAGTTCTGCAAATGTGTCTTTGCTAACTATTTGTTGGACCAGCTTGGTGTTTTTTTTTCCCATGCTGGCAGGCACACGCTTCCATTCCTCGTACTGGATCTCTTGATCTGCTATACATTTTGCTAGATCAAACATCTCGCAGTCTGTGGTGGACTTGATGGCCTCATCTGGGCTTGTGATTTTGAATACACCTAGTGACTTAACACCTTTAATTGAAGTGCAAAGTTTTGGTGCTTTTGGCATAGGTTTGTGTTCCTTGCGGTGAATTTAACAAGTTTGATGTTAGAGTTTCTCTGTCGAATTTTCTTGAAGGCAGAAAAGGAAACCTTCCGTTGCTGTGGGTGCTCACATTTATACTTTTTGAAGAGGTTCATCATATAATCATTAAGATAACGGATCTGACGTTTTTGATGTTGATGTTTTGCAAGCATCTCGTTTTCCTGGCATCATCCTGGAGTTATCATCTCTTTCCAGAAAGTTTAGTACTTCATTGTGAAGCGCCCCCAAGCCTTCTTGACATATTTTCTAATTGTAGACCCTTTCTTTACTACATTGGACAGGTTATGCCAACCAATGCCGGACTCTCTTGATGTATGCATTATTAAGCGATACTTTTTGATTATCCTTCCAGATAGCACACTACCAATCACTTTCCTATTATGCTTCTTTTTATTGGTCTTTGTACTCTCTCTTATTTCATCCAGCAGCGCGTTTGAAAACAATAGTTGTTTTCTTAAATCGCTTGGGCACTGATGCCAGTGACAGACCTAAGAAAAAAAATATTAAACATATAAACCTTGTGTTAAAACAAGACAGCAAAACGAACAGTAGGCATACGTTTAATAAATAATTAAAAACCACCAACCTGAATCACTTCCTTGGGTATACACATAAAATTTAGGAATATTCCAAGAGTGGATAAAATTAACATCAATGGTACTACAATTTAAATAATAATAATTAAGTTACAATATGTTTGTGCTGGTGAGTTGTTGAAAGGTGTATCTAAAAGTAGAATAGACCTGCCTGCGTTTCGGAGATCACGATTTACTTTTGACCTTGGGGTACTGCTGTTTAATATTTCGTTGCCGGTCGAAGATATTACTTTATTAACTTTCTTCATTGCTCTTTCATAGCATTTGGTGGCTGTTTTCTTTTGTCTATTAACTCTCTGTAACTGCAGATTAAGTTTTTCGATGCGACGATGGGCTCTACTTAATGATCTACTTATGCACTTTCGTGATGAAATGCATCTCTTAAAAGACATTTTGATGCGTAGTGGTGAGTGACTAGCTTGTGAGGCTACATCAGAAGATATGGCAGAATCATCGTTAGTACTGATTTCATCTGCTTCCTCCAATCGTTGTTGTGACTGAGCTTGAACTTGTCTTACATATGCTCTGTGCTTTTGTTCTCTTTTTCTCACAGATTCTCTCCTTGCCTGTCTATTTTTAGTTGAAAGTTGAAGTTGTGCAGCCGGGATATAGTATTTCTTGACACGTTTTGCTTCCGATTGCAAGAATTCTGCCCCTCGTTTCTCTTTTTGTCGTGCTCGATATGCTGCCTGAATCTCTGCTCTTGATTTCACTGGTGAGTGACTAGCTTGTGAGGCTACATCAGAAGATATGGCAGAATCATCGTTAGTACTGATTTCATCTGCTTCCTCCAATCGTTGTTGTGACTGAGCTTGAACTTGTCTTACATATGCTCTGTGCTTTTGTACTCTTTTTCTCACAGATTCTCTCCTTGCCTGTCTATTTTTAGTTGAAAGTTGTGCAGCCGGGATATAGTATTTCTTGACACGTTTTGCTTCCGATTGCAAGAATTCTGCCCCTCGTTTCTCTTTTTGTCGTGCTCGATATGCTGCCTGAATCTCTGGTCTTGATTTCACCATTATTAATATGTGTGCCTATTTAAAGGTAAATTAAATTAAAACATGAATTATTAAATACAGGAAATTAATAATTTATATGTGTATCATCATAATGTAAACAAAAAACACTGATTCTGTATGTAATACATTATGTAACTTACGTTACTATTTTGACAATTTGATTACGGATATTATTATATATAAAGATAATGTTTCACAGCACTTACGTAACTTGGATATTGATATACATACATGTATACTCATTCAGTGTCTTTAATTATATTAATATCCTAAATGTTTCTTTGCTGCGTCAGCTACAATGTATACATGAAAATAAATGTAAAACTTACGTTACTGTTAAATTAAAGGCGATAATCCTCACAGAAAATACCTCTTAGGTAATCAATTTTTAGTCATAAGTACGATTTAATATTACCTCTATTATATTACTTTAATTATTTGAACACATAATAATTGTAAGTAAATTTATATGACATACAATTTAGGTATACAAAATGGTAACATACGTTACCAGTCATGTAATTTACGTTACATTATGGCATGGGTTATCTTGCCACTGTAAGTTGCACAGGCTATTAACAAGACCCATGTACATGTGTCGTACCTAATATTAAACATTTGAAACTGTTATAAATGATCTTAATAAATAAAGCATTGATTACTTACCAAAATATATTCGCAAATATCCCAGTGTTCAACAAAATTGCAAAATTCTAAGGAGTAACTAAAACAACGTGTTCAAAATTGCCGCTGTTTCCTGATCACATGATTTAAAACTTTTTCTTGCTCCAGGGGGCGTTTTTTTTTTTTGTCGTATGTGTATTTTCATGCTTAGGAATGCATTACAAATATTAAAATTCGTGGGTGATTATGTATATGGTAACATAAGTTACTATCACGTAGGTTTCATCTTGAGTTTAAGGACTCAATTAAATAAACTTTAAATCTCTAAACAAATATTCAGCTTGAAACTGGGCTTTGGGTAATACCGTCATTATCTATTAGAAGTGTTAATTTTTTAGTTTGTATAGTCCTAAATATTAGAAAAATGGTGGGCGACACGTGGTTTTTGTTAACATCTTGAACTTTGAAGAAGCACTACTTCGTAAGTAAAAGGACTACAAAAGTGAAACTTCACAAAACTTAACATTAACATTTATAATACCACGGTAACGCAAAAAAATCAAATCTATTACTTAATTTATAATATATAATGCAATAATTACTGGCGACAGGGTTTTTTACAAATCCTGCCGATTTAGTGAGCCTGAGCCATACATGTTCTGAGACGGATAAGTATGCGTATACGTTAGTTTGCCCAAACTCTCTAATGTTGGTTTGAATGCTAGTAACTATACCAAATTGTTTGGAAATTGAGATTGGGAGTTTTGCCATAATGGTTTGCTAATGCTCCAAAAGATACTGGCCGCCCATGACGTTTAAAGAGAGTGAGTACCTTTACCAGTAAGCTATAAAGATTCTACTTTATCCACCACCGATATCATAGCAGTGCAGTGTAGTTTAATTTTTTACCTTCTCAAAATGTTGCCGCACATCTTTTTTTATTTTTTTTGTTATGCCTTTGAGATGCTCTTCCGGCATACGGTCATGAATCTCATTCAACATACGCTGGACAGCTGGCGGTGAGTGAGACATTGGTGAGGTTGTATCGCCGCCTTTATCCGACTTAACCTTCTGGCAAAAATAAAATTAAACCATTGCAAATGAGATTCAACGCCCTTTTATCTTCAGCCTGGATAATTTATCAATTAAGTCCAACATGTGGTCAGAATAACTACAAGATGATAAGATTATTTAAGGAAAGTTAGATCTTCAATATTAAAGAGTTATGTCCAGGTACAGTATTATAATAAAGCAGGGGTGGCGACAGCAGGGGGTGGGGGAGGGGCGTCCCCTGACGTCCCCCCCTCGGGGAGAAAAAGCACAATTCGTCAGGGAGAAAAACAAATTATATGTATTTTCTACATATTAGTAGACTATAAAATCGATTAAATAAGCCTTTGAAACCCCTAAATTGTCAAGATTTTTGGGGGCTTCGCCCCCAGGACCAATTTCCAAACCTTTTAATCGAACTTCCACCATGCCCACTTTGCTTTCGTCGGGGAAATCTGACCCCTCGTTGGGACATCGGCCCCCTTGTCGGGGACCTCGGCCCACCCCGTCGGGCAAATACTTGCGCCACCTCTGTAATAAAGCACCTTTTTACATAAGGATGAAAAAAAAAATGAAGTAAATGTAGATTTGGTTCGGTAATTGCATGATGATGATGGTAATTATGATATTGATATGAACATATTTTTAGTAATTACATAATAAAGATTTTACAAAATTGGTAAGGCTTAATATGGAATTATAAAGTATAAAAATATCAAACACTATTTTACATTTTTTTCATTCTTAGGAATGTCTAAATTCAGTTAAACTAGCAATTCCGTATTATATTTATAAATCTTTATAACATTATACAAAAATTAGATTTTTCTTAAAAACTGAAATTTTGCCGGGAATGGGGCTTTAAGATGTATTAAAATATTCCCAATAAGTTCCGAAAAAAAGTGAAGTTAGTACATATAAAACACTGTACACCTTTACTGTAATTGCAATAATTTAAATATTCATCATATAGCTATTGTTCCTGCCTACGGTAATACGGTAAACTTATTCTTTAAGTGGTCCCTACTTCGGATCGTGACCAAAATTGACTTCTTTATTAAAAAATTACAAAACATTCTGCCAATTGTCATTTTTATCCATTGATTGATCCACCAACACTCCACGATTTCTTCCTTGTACCTTGGTTAAGCTTTCTCAAAAGTTTCAGTCATATCATCCTTAAGTCATACCTGACAATCCCTGTATCTTCCATTTAAGATCTGTGCAGCTGTTGTTGAGATATTTTGAACACAAGAAACATGAACGGCCTTAAGAATTTAAATGACCCTCAAGGTCACCCCCAAATTTAAGTCGTGACCAACGATTGATAATTTCTTCCTTGTAACTTTTTTAAGCTTTCATAAAAGTTTCATTCATATCAGTTGATTAGTTTTTGAGATATCTGATCTAAATTCCCTTTAAATGGCCTTCACATCCACACCCTACTCAGGACCTTAACCAAATTTAATCATTTCCTCATTGGGTTACACCAACACTCCATGTAATTTTTAGTCATGTCTGTGCAGCCGTTTTTGAAATATGTCATACACAAAAAAACCACACGAAAACACCTAAACGTGACACACACACACACACACACACCAACTTACACGACTGGAAACATATCTCCTGGCGAAAATAACCATGATGATGACAATAACAATAATAATAAGCGTCAAGGCACTCTATCTGCATTGCTTCTCTCCGCCCAGGAGTATAAATGGGTACATGGTGGGGTTGCCTGCTAATGAATAATATGGCAGCAACAATAAGCATGTTTACCCAATGACAAGGATAAATACCAAACAATAATAACAACAATAACAAAAGTAATATCAATAACATACCAATATAAAAATATAACAAACAATATGGATAATATTAACAAACACAAAAATTAATAACATTTGCCACAACAATACAAACTAATTATATCAATAATAATAATAATAATAATAACAATAATAATAATAATAATATGCACTAAATCAGACTTAAAGGGGAATATTTTTTGTGTTATTTTCTCCTTAACGTCGTTTTAGTAATTGTTCTCTAATTACCCCTTAAGGTAGGTTTTAGTAACATAACAATAATACTAATAATAACAACAATAATAATAATAATAATATGAAATGATGGTCAATAACAGCAACAATATACACAATTTTTCTCACAACTTTGTATAGTCTCTTTTCCCCCCCTTTTAACCCCTCATTCAAAACATGGTTTGTAATAGTTCATTTGGAAATACAGTTTGTCATCTTGTGATAATCCCACACATTACATGGGTGGATATAATGTTACTTGATAAATTATAGATTTCTGTTATCTTGTACCAACTTAATATTATACAGATGTCAATTTTTTCTCAATCGCTTATGTCATTTTTTAAATTTCAATATGATTTCTATTATGAGTAATTATTCTCTAAAATATCAAATGTGTAAAGGAAATTGGTTGATAAATCCTTCATTTGTGTTATCTTTTGCAACTTACTGTGGTTACTTGGGTTTGCAATGTTTCCCATTCCTTAGGGTAACTTCCTGGGGAGAGAACTGCAAAAAGGAAACACATGATGAGTATTATAATAGGCAAAATCATTAAACACTGGAAATAGGTCTACATAGTCAATAAAGTTACCGATCTTTCGACATTACTCGCGTGTATTGGGCGTGTGTTTCACGAGTGAAAAGCGAGTGCCATTATTCCGCGAGTGCTCCAATTAACGCGTGAATGATTTTACTCAGCACACACTGGTAAAAATCGGAACTTGAGGTCACATGGGTTTGTAAAGTTGTTTATTCACGATCTTTTACTAGAGTTCTGCTACGACTTTTCCTCGAGCACTCACGTAATCTGAATACACTCTTTTGTCTCTATTGTTATTAGTACAGAGGGTGTTTCAGGGGTGGTTGACTAGTAGAGTTTTGAATAGAAGTACAGTACAGTAATTGAATACATAGTTAATTTTAGAAAACGAAAATCGTCTAACTTCATCTTAAGTTTGTAATATTTCCAAATGATACAAACGTTTCATTATAATTTATGTAACTGTTTGTGTTTCAGACGTAGCAGGCCAACACATTCATGTTTAGAATATTTCAAATACGTCACTCTCCGATAATTTAAATATTATTTATTATTCATCTAAATAAAACGACCGTCTCATTATTATTTTCATGTTTCATGCGCAGTAGGGTACCAGATTTTTTTTATACGTCTACAAATAAAGGTTATTGTAACGATATTTTTAATATAGTTTTTGTAAATAACATTCTATAAGGTTCAAAATTATAACAACCGTCTTATCATTATCTTAATCATAATTGAATGCTTTTTGTAATTTTTTAGTGTTTTGAGTCATGGTACTGTACTACCAGAGTCGGTTTGGGATATTTAATATGCCTATGTCCAAATAGAAGTAATTTTTATAGTATTAAGAGATAATATAATTACTGTAATAACTTTCGTAAAGTCGATTAAAACGACCATCTCATCATTATTTAAGTAATATGAATAATCAATTTTTTTTTTTTTTTTTATAATTCTTTATTAGTCCTAATTTTTTTTTTTTTTTGTGTTTCAGACGTGGTATTTTAAGTACGTCTCAAATATAATTTCCTTAATTAATTGTTTTGTATTTTTTTTCTCTACAGAAACATTCTACAGTGCTCATGACGTCGAGAATTATAATTCAAAATATGCCCATGAAGCAATTTGCATTTTTTGATAATGAATAAATGTATTTTATTGAGCAATAATAATTATTATAAATGACCATCAAAATATAAATTAAACTGTTTAATGATTTTAATATCACGTCAATCCACTTAGTTTGTATTGTTGCTTTTAATTTGTCATGAATGGAAATAAACTGTTTGAAATAGGCCAGTACTGCAAGTTGCCTAGTTACAGTCAGTGAATTCAGTGAGAAACGTTCCTACAAATAGGTTCCCAAGATACTATTGGGAGAAGCAAACTTAAGGTCAGTCACATAGTCTGATTCTCTGGAATACGCCGCCAATTCAGGAATGTAGATGTGTTGCTGCTGCAATGATTCCAATAATGTACTAATTATTTTTTTCTCTCTCTCTACAGAAACATTCTACAGTGCTCATGATGTCGGGATTAAGATTCAAAATATATGCCTACGAAGCAATTTGTATTTTTTTAATAATAAATAAATGTTTGACCAATACACTGTAATTATGTTTTATGTTTGCAGCAATTTTTGTTTAAATGATAAAGTAACCTTATTAGATAGGCCTATTTGACAGTGAATGAAGTGGAATCAAATTAATTTTGATTCTAATAAATATTACGCAGTAGGGAGATTTCGTTTGAATGATAAGGGATAGTTGTACAGAATCAGAATGAATTTTGTTGTCTTGAAAAACATTACAAAGTCATGGAAATTGTTTTCTTTGTTATAATATTATAAGTCAGACTGATATACAGTAAGTATAACAAATGGAAAGACCATCGAAACATGAATTAAACCAGGAACATTGTTCCCTGATTAACTGTAATGTTTTATTTTTTACATAACATCAATCCACTTCAGTTTGTATTGATTCTTTTAATTTGTCATAAACGAAAGTTCGGTGATCAGTACTGTAGGTCAAGACAGGGGTAATGTCTCGCGGCCATCCCGAGGCAAAACAACGTAACTGACATTTTTGTAGATTTTGAGATAATATCATGTCGGAGTATATTAAACACGTACAGTATGAATTACCTGTGAAACTTTCAGGTCTCAATAATGAGTCGTTTCGGAGAAAGCACCACCTATTAAGCACAAAACTTAAAATCCAGTAATTTTCTGTGGCAAGATTACACGGCAAAACAACGTATCTGCGATGAAGATACGTTGTTTTGCCACGGAATGCTCTTCAAAAATGGTCTAGAGACGATGGAGTTTGGCAAGGAAAAATCAAAAGGTTATTGGTGTTTTTATATCAATACTCTTAAACAGCGATGTATGAACAGGCTAGGTAATGCATATGATTGCCCCAAATGTGATAAGTTCAAAAAATATGTAGCACTTGCAACAATACCGAGCCTGACATGTTTCAGTGGCAAAACAACGCATCTGTAATTATAGCTAATAACTTTGCAATAAACAAATGGTTGTAATTAAAATTTTAAATATAATCACAATGTCTATAGATATACAATCCTGCAAAATTTTAAAAGGCTATGACAATTTATTGCAAAGTTACGAACATGCAAACTTTAACTCTATTTTTCTCCAAAAGTGAAAATTTCAAGTTACGTTGTTTTGCCACAGAACGGCCGCACTGTCACATCATTTTTTTTTTTAGAACACACAGGACTGACGGCTTAAATGTCTCATCTGAAAGATGGCACGTTATTGAAACGTGCATTTTAGCTTTCCAGTTGCAACAAAGAAAACTGATGGAATGAAGCAGGGACCAAGGTTATATAAAGTTCACCACGGTTCAGTGCACACGCAGTGGCTGCCACCAATTTAGCAGATTGAGTGAAGTTTCACTAATGGAGCTTATATGAATAACTTACTGTATAGATTTTGTTTGGTAACTATAAGCATGCTATGGGTAGAAAACTACTGTAGATGTCATTTGTGTGGTTCTATGGTATATCAAAGCAAAGTTATAAATTTTGTCTGCAGTTATACTATTTGATTAAAACATATTTCAAACAGAAAAGTACAAGGGGATAGTCCTATTCTTTCAAAATCTATTTTTACTAATTGCATTTTTTCCGTAAAAATGAGGTGTATATATCCCTGTGTCATCTCTGGATTAGATACATGTGTTATGGAATTGCTGTAGATATGATAAACTCTTAGAGTGAGAATTGACCTTTTATTTATGTTTCAATTTTCATGTTTGAACTTATGAATTACAATGTTGATTTTCTGATAATTGTTTTTTTTTTTTTTGACTTAGTAGGTATTGTAAGGGACTTTCCCCGCGGGGCCAACATACACTAAGTATATTTACTTTCTGTTGACCTCTCGCCTCCTGGTTCCACACATTATCTTTGTTGTATACATATTTATTTGTACCTGGTATTAAAGTTGAAGTTAAGTTCAAGATAATGTTTCACTATCTGGCTGGGAATGTTACTTAATAATCCTGGCCAGCATACAAAACAGTGTTGAGTCAACTAGTGAATGTATTAAGCTTTTCAAATTAGTTAATTCAATAATTCATCAGAAAAAAAAAAAAAAAATCAGTTTTTGTATCAGAC